TACACACATGCTGAAAATTTTTAATATTTTTTTATGATAAAAAGATAACAATGCGCAAAGGCTGCTATTATAGGCAAATACGAATGTGACGGTTGGCGGCTAGAGACGCCATGATCGACAAATCATGGCAACACCAGAGTCGTGGTAGCGTCCATCACCGATCTCTTTATAAGCAAATGAATTAATATCTCTGTAAGTAATAAACGGATCCATGCGAAAGACCGACAAAAAAATCATTGAAAAAATTATCTGCAAGTTTTTTAATCTTCAAACGAAACAAATGCACACACTGTTCGAGGGAACAAAATATTTACAGCAGAAAAGTCGTTGAAAAAGCACTCACCTCAAATTTCTTGTGTATTGGAGACAAAGGCAATCGTTCAGCCGGCGCGCGCGTCGCACTGTAATGCCAGACTATGCTCTTCAATGATATTTGTGATAATTTCACTATAAAACGTGAGCAATTCAATATTTTTTGCTTAGCGTCCTTTTAATACTATCGTGAACGTTGTCGACTCGCAGCTATGCTTGATAAAGGGAGCTGCAACGCAACAACTTCAATTCACTGCACGAATAGCGAGACTCGACTGACCTGATCGAGACGACGCACTGTACTCTGATTCGTTTGCTATCCTAAGAAGTACTACCCCACTCTTTATACAACACGCCAACTGATTCCCGCCAAAATGTCATGATGCTACTTCAAATTATAGCATTTTGAGAATCGTAAGTATATTCGCTTCGTATTATTTTTAATTAGAAAAAAATGTAATTAATGTTGAATACTTTTAAAAAATTTGTATATTCCCTAAACCATCGAATAATTCGCAATAGTAATTTGAAGTTTGTAGAAGTCAAGAATTCTTTGGCGGGAATATAATTATATTACCACAGACGAAGTATAAGATAGACTTATCATCTTATGAGACTTGGTTTTACATGTTCTGAAATACCGATAGTGAAAAAAACAGAAGTTTTCTTATGCCATCTACGTTTTATAGTGGAGGATTTAGGAATTATATTCAGTCAAACCATCAAAGTCGGTAAAGTCATTACATGTAAGAAAAAACATTTTCTGTTTCATAACAAAGATACATGTATCACCGCAGATGAAATATAAGTATAGTTCTATATCTAGTTTGTGATACGTTGTTTAATCAGGAACTATTGGCTGGCTGCCAAGAGCAATAGGACACGCGCAAGAGTTGAAGCATCATTAATGAAAAACTCCATTCTTATATTTTTTATTATAGTTTGATAAAAATATAACCAGTAAATTGGTGCTATATTCCTGTAGAAAATACTTTATAAGACATTAACTTTAAAAATTTTGGGGATCCCCCAAACTTTGTGTCACCCTTACTATCGAGAACCAAACGTATAAGGTGTATTTTTTTTATAACTCTTAGTTGTAAAGCACATGTGTAATTTATCAGCAAACCATTACCTAAATTCAATTCTTAATTATAAAATGTAAATAATAATTGTAAATAATTATACATAATGTGTAAAATGTAAATTCTCGTGTTTTAGTGCGCATTGTGAAAATGGTACAAGAAAATAATTATGAAGGGAGAAATTGAATGTATACATCGTACACTGTACGAGTAACAACGGTATTCGAATTCCCGCGTAAAGTAAGAACAGGGATTTTACAGGCGAACATTCTGCTCATTACCCTGTGCATTCTGTTTGATTGAATAATCATGAAATAAGGATTAAGGGATCTTCAAATTTTAACATTAAATATAATCTATTAACCTTTTATGTGAAAAATTACATCATATAATATTTCCCTGATGATGATATGAATTCTATAGATCGATTCCGATTTTTAACAATTAACTATCGCATTATTTAATTGCTATTCCTACCGTCTTAGTAGCGCTGTAACATTATTCCATTCTGAATCGATAATGTCGCACATGACACAAAAATGGTAACGGGGTCTAAATACCCTACACACTGAGTAATATAAATTTACATTGGATGAAATATAGTGATTAAGCCGAATAAAAAAAAGTTGACATTTGTAATTTATTGATCATCTTATCGATATCTTTCCAAAATATGCGATTTGTATTTTATTTCACAAAATATTTATCTTCATTTATAATAATAATTCATGATCAAAACTTTGGTTTATTTATACTAATTCGTAAGGAATAGCTGATAAAAAATGCTGATATGTTAGGGGATGTATAATATATAAAATGATTCGAAAATTGTAAGAATTGTAAATTATTATCATAATTTAAACTTATTTTATATTAAAGACTTTTGTACTTTTTCAAAATTATTATATAATTAAGTTAAAAATAGTTCCATATAATCGATGTATAGCTGAAAAATGTTATGTATCTTTTAATTGCTATTTACAATGTGAGCGTTGATTTGTATGTATACATACATAGAATTTTGTACACACATTGTCCTTGAATCTACATAGTATATCTTTAACTTACATTTGTAAATCTTCATTCGTGAAGTCTTTAATTACACTTGAATGTACTTGCATAAACTTCTAGATAGATCTATTACAGCACACACACATCTTTCCATCCTTTAACAATATTCTCATACAAAACACATCATTACATACTTTATTTTTTCGCAAATGAAATTTTCATCGCATGAGAAGGTGTAATTTTAAATCCTTGAAGAGCATCTTTTGCAGCCCCTGATTGAACTTCATTTTCAAATTCAACAAATGCAATGTCATGCCTATTGGGTACCAAACGTACTTCTTTAAAACCAGGAAATTGATTGAAAAGCATAGATAACATCATTTCACTGGTCTCATCTGGTAAATTTGTAAGGAATAAAATTTGATTTGGTGGTTGTTCTGGAACAGCAGTATTGACTAAGCCTGGATGTTGTGGTACACCAGCATGGTAACCAATCTGTTGTGAATGTTTAGCTTGTTCTTTGGCACGTTTCTTGGCACGCTTGGCTTCTTCATCAGCTGCAGGCACAACTCGTTTTGGTTTTTTAGGCCGTTCTGCATATGTACCCTTCATTTTTGCAATTATATCACTGTCGGTCTTTGCATATTGTATCCTCTAAAATAAAATAAGTTGTAATAATTATTGATTTCATTATTTCACAGGTAAAATTAAAAATACCATATGACCATTGCTTACCATTGGTTTGTCATAAAATGGGAATCCCTGCATTGACCTTAATGCATTTGTTGCACTAGCTATTTCCTTAAAAATAACAAATGCTTGACCACGCATTTTTAACGTTTTTAATGCTACAATATCTAATATTTGACCAAACTGAGAAAAAATTGCATATAACGATTTCTTTAATTCATCTTTTTTTATTTTTTCATTTAAATTATTAATATAAATTGTATTATTTGGTCTAATATCCATTGCCACTAAAAGAAAAATATTTTAATATAAA